TGAACCAAACAAAACTTTCTCAAAAGAAGAAATTCAAATGGCCAAAAAAACACATGAAAAAATGCTCACCATCTCTAGCAATAAAGGAAATGCAAATTAAAACCACACTAAGATTCTACCTCATCCCTGTTAGAATAGCCATCATCAGCAACACCACGAACAACAGGTGTTTTTGAGGATGCGGGGAAAAAGGAACCCTCTTACACTGCTGGTGGGAATGCAAGCTAGTATAACCACTGTGGAAAAAAATTTGGAGGCTACTTAAAAAGCTAAACATTGATCTACCATTTGATCCAGCAATACCACTCTTGAGGATATACCCAAAAGACTGTGACACAGGTTACTCCAGAGGCACCTGCACACCCATGTTTATTGCGGCACTATTCACAATAGCCAAGTTATGGAAACAGCCAAGATGCCCCATTTCTGACAAATGGATCAAGAAAATGTGGTATCTATACACAATGGAATTTTATGCAGCCATGAAGAAGAACGAAATGTTATCATTCGCTGGTAAATGGATGGAATTGAAGAACATCATTCTGAGTGAGGTTAGCCTGGCCCAAAAGACCAAAAATCATATGTTCTCCCTCAAATGTGGACATTAGATCAAGGGCAAACACAACAAGGGGATTGGACTTTGAGCACATGATAAAAGTGAGAGCACACAAGGAAGATATGAGGATACGTAAGACACCTAAAAAATTAGCTAGCATTTGTTGCCCTCAACGCAGAGAAACTAAAGCAGATACCTTAAAAGCAACTGAGGACAATAGGAGAAGGGGACCAGGAACTAGAGAAAAGGTCAGATCAAGAAGAATTAACCTAGAAGGTAACACACACGCAGAGGAAATTAATGTGAGTCAACTCCCTGTATAGCTATCCTTATCTCAACCAGCAAAAACCCTGTTCCTTCCTATTATTGCTTATACTCTCTCTTCAACAAAATTAGAGATAAGGGCAAAATAGTTTCTGCCAGGTATCGAGGGGGTGGGGGAGAGAGGGAGGAGGTGGGGTGGGTGGTAAGGGAGGGGGTGGGGGCAAGGGGGAGAAATAGCCCAAGCATTGTATGCACATATGAATAAAATTTTTAAAAAAGGTAAATACCTAGAGTGGAAATGTGTGCGCGTTTATGTGTTGGGTGTAGTTTGGAGGAGATAAGTAAGCAGAGCTGTGATCATAGAATTGATAAGCCAGGAGCCAAGTGAACCCTACTCAACTGTCACCCTAAACCTGGAAGAAGTACCTTGAGAAACATTACCTTTTTGTAAACACTAAACCTCTTTTGCCTCAAACAATACCAGTTTCGTTAGAGACTAGTCTCTTTCCAATATTCACTCCTGTTGCACAAAGAGAATAACTTAGAATTCCAGTAGAGTTCCTCCAGCTATAGATGAACGTGATTCATGAACAAGTTACTTCCTTTCTAAGCCACTCGTTTTTGTCTTTTTAAAGATTACATTTGTAAATAAATGTACTTTTGTCATAGACTTTATTTTGCAGTGGGTCACTTATTTTTCTTTAGCTTTTAAAATTTCATCATGATACAGAAAAATGTCATGTGGATAAATAATATAACTTAGATTTTGGGTCTGAACTGCACGTGAGAAACTCTGTGTGAATGGTACATAATCTAGATATGGTGTAACTAAGTAGTTTAGTCTAAGTGGATCTGAATGGCCCAAATCTCAGTCAGGGATGTTCACTCATGAGTGTTCTATGACACCACCCTCACACTGACATCATTTGGTCAACAGGGCAGACCACATGGCACAGTCAACCCAAAACTGAGGGAAAAGTACCACATCAGCTTTACATATGCCCTTAGAAAGGAGGGACTCCCTGTGCACAAAGAGGTGACAAGAGGAATCTAAAGAGCCTTTTTCAATTTCATGAAAGCCTTTGTAAACCTTGGGGCCTAAGCAAATTTTGGGTTTTGTTGTTTGGGTAGCTCTAAGAAGCATCACAAGGGAGGCAGAACAGATGACCCTGAGTGGACACTTTCCTGAACCCATATGTACCACTTCCTGAGGACTCCCGGAAGTAATAGGACAAGACTTTTAAGAGGGCCTGGAGAATTAAGATCTTACTTGTTCCCAAAGACAGTGAGACCTGTGAAATTTGTGATACACACAACACACATAGCAATTTTTATTGATTTTCAGTACATTCCTGAGAACATACAGTTCAATTTATTTTGCAGAGCTGCATGACCTTCTAAAACATCAGCTGAAAATGCTTTTCATGGTAGATGGTGGAATTTATGCAAACCATACTCCTGTGAATAAAATATGTTTTAGGGTACCCCTGGAATGTGACCCCATGTTGTGTTAGTCTGGTGGGATGTTTTTGATGCTTTCATGTGCTCCTCTCCAGTGAGATCTGGCACAGCAATATGTGTAAATAGAGCAAAGCAAGGAATATCTGACAAAGGCAGGGGTGGGCCCAGAGTCCCCCACCTGCTGGCCCCAAGAACCTTTGTTCTAAATGTTAGGGAATTTGAGGAAATGTCCCTCTGTGGCTGTTTTACTTTCGTCTCTTTGCACTTGCAACCACTCGGATGAAATTGGACTTTACTTGCTATTAATCTATTAGGCTGAGTCATATTTCATGCTGAATTGTCAAAAATGGATGTTTTTCTCAGTTTCCACTCTGGGTAGAGTAAGGATTTCCAAAGCAAAGTCCTTCCTTGTGGGATGGAGATGGTACTCTTTGCCTTCAGCTTTTATGGACTGATGACTTTAAAGTAATGGAGTTTCCACATACACAGTGGCAAACTAGAGGACTCTTTCTATCCTTTTAGTTTTTTGTGTACTGCATCATCTGTTTGGGACTGAGAATTCCTTGAGAGAAAGCACCATTTTTTCTCATCTTTGTATTCCTTGCCATTCCTAGTCTAGAGCAGGTGTTTTGAAAGGTCTTGCTAAATTGAATTGGAAAAAAGAGAGCAGAGGGCATTGTAGAATTGAATTAGACTCCAACACACCTGCTTCTATGTATGTAAGAAACATTTTTTAACATTACAATTACAGGGCTTTTTTGGGGCTTGGATATATTTTTGGAACAAAATCTAGACTTCTTAATTGTTGCTAAAAGGCTAAAAGTGTTCTCTCTTTATAGGATTTAAAGCCTCTTATCTGTGCAAAGAATTGTTCTGAGCACTTTCACATGTGTTGCTATGTTTACTTTCCGCTGTCAACATTACTGGGCATTGTTTTTACTTATCTCAGCTTCAATATTTTATTTATTAATATTTTAACATTAGGTACATTTACTCCTGAAAATATCCCCCCAGGTTGATATTTTACCCTCTTGTAACAGGTTAGAAAGCTGAAACTCTGATTGGAAAAGAGACTCATATAATTTCCAGGGTACTTACTAGGAAGGGAGCTGGGATGCTTTCTGACTTTTAAGGCACTTCTCTTTTTCTTCCAATCACAGTTTCATCTTCTTTTCCTTCCTAACCTCGGTATCTTTATTTTTTTATTCATTTATTCATATGTGCAAACATCGTTTGGGCTGTTTCTTCCCCCTACTTCCCCCCTCCCTCCAACCCCTCCCTCACTTCCAGGCAGAATCTGTTCTGCCAACCTTTTTGGGTGGTGCTGGGGTTTGAACTCAAGGCCTCATGCTTGCTAGGCAGGCACTCTACCTTTTTAGTCATTTATCACCACCGCTTCTCAATTTCAAAGCAATTTCTACCAGTTTTTGTTGTTGTTCAAGTGAGGTTGTGTTGGAGATTTATGAGGGGGTGGAGTGTTGCCATGGAGGGTCTACAAAGAGTTGAGGAGTTCTGCTCATCTACAAGTTTGAGAAATTATGAGTTGTTGGAGAATGTTTTGTAAAGAAACAATAAGTGCTTTATTTCTCTCCTATTTGCCTCTTTCCAAAGTTGGTTTAATAAACACATCTGAGCAAATGGATTATTTAGAGTCTGTATTTATCATCCTGGTATCTTGAATGGTGGTGTTGCCAGGATGTGGTGCAGAGATGCCAGGGGTCCTAGCCCTTTGAATTCCTATTGTTTAACTGTTCCAGTCCTTTCTTATCCAGAATGTAGCATTTAAACCACCAGCATCACAATCTCCTGGGACTTGTATGAAAACCAGATGACCAGAATCCACCAGAGAGTTTGATGCAGTTAGTCTAGAGTACCTTTAACAGGAGTCTTGGGCTGTTTTCTTGGAATGCTAATTTTGATTTCCTTCAAATAAATGCATGTACACAACTGAATTAACTCTTTACTATTTTGGCAAGGTTATTCCACTGTGTGTATTATTCCTTAGTCCTTTTTCTGGTTGCCATTGACTTTTGGGTATTCCACTCAATTAGTTCAATCAGTTACTTCTTGTTCTAAAAGTATTTGATATATTTCCCTAAAGACCAGAACCATATTTTATTATATCTTTGAGCTCACAAAGCTCCTTGGATGTACATGTTCAATAAGTTGAAAGCTGAATAAATGATTGAATGAATGAATACATGGAAGAGGAAAGATGTAGACGACAAATTCCTTTAAGACTAGAACAATGTCTTATTCACCCTTGAATTGATAATGCTTTGTGGAAACCCTTTCAATGTTTCTTGCCTAATTTGTAGGTAGCTGTTAGATGAGAACAGATGGTCTCCTTATTTCTAGTGTATGACGCCAGAGAATACAAAGAAGAGAAAATGAGGTAAAATTGAGTGTTATGTACAGTGCTAGGCAACTCCAGGAATTTTTGTTCAGCTGGTCATCACACATCCTGTGAACTGGGATCCCCTTCCTTCCCTCTCTCTTCTCCTCCTTTCCCCTTCTTTTCTCTTCTCTTTCTTGTACTGGGGATTGAACCTACGCCCCACCCTCACAGCCTTGTATCTGCAGAGGTTGAGAGGTGTTTGAGGAGCGAGCCTCTACAGAGTAAATTACAAAACTCAACTCTCTGGGTTCCTCTTGTGCAGGCGCGGCACCGCAGCTCTGGAGAGAAGCTTTTGTTCTCCCTCTTCCCTCAATCAGACCAGGCAGGAACAAGGAAATGACATCCACCTCCCTGCCCTGGTCCGTTTCCGGAACGCAGGTTCCGGAGTCTGCAGGCGCGGGGGGGACGAGAAAGCGACGGACACAGGGCCGGGCGGTTGCTTGGTAACGCCGGCCAGAGGCGTTCCGGTGTACTACGGTCCGGGACCGACAAGTGACACCGGCCCATTCTCTGCGTGCCGGCGTCCTGTCCCCGCGGCTTGGCGGGCTAGGGCCGGGGAGATGTTGCAGGAGGAGTCGGATCTGTCTCTCATCATTGCCCAGATAGTGCAGAAGCTCAAGGGCTCCAATCTGTACGCTCAGCTGGAACGGCAGGCCTGGGTAAGCGGGGCGCACGGGAAGGGACGGGGACCCGCGGCCCGGGGACCCTGTGTCCCCCGCTCGGGTCAGCCAGGCCGGCGCTCGCCGCGCTCTCCAGCTCGGCTGCGGAGCATGGCGAACGTTCCTGCGTGAGACTCCGACCCGGGCGCGGCGAGCGTTTCTGACAGAAGGGCGGGGCGCATCGCCTGCTCCAGGCCACGCGTGCTTCTGTCCACCTGTGTGGTCATCGACCGGCTCTCGGTTGTTAAGCCGTGGTACTCCGTGCAGGTCGCACGCCTTGCCTTGTTCTGTCTCTGGGTGGATTTCGGCCCCTCCGTGCGGGTTTTTTGGGTTTTTTTCCCGTCTTTGTATCATTTTGTTGCAGTTTACCCTCCCCGCAGAGATCCATGTATCCATCCTCGCAGCTTTCATAGAGCACTTCCTAAGCTGTGGATGAATAGATTGATGAGATCGTTTCTTTTTTTTTGTGAATGCAGGTGAGTAGAATCCTACAATGCGTAAACCTTTGTGTGTGCTTTCTGTCATTTGGCATAAGCCTTTTGAGATTCATCCGTGTTGTTGGTATTTCAGTCGTTCTGTTCCTTTTTATTGCTGAGTAATATTTCATCAGTGTCTTATTGTTATTTTATTCATTCATTAGGTGATGGGTATTTGGGTTGTTTAGAGATTATGAGTAAAGCTGATGTGTTCTGCTATACGTTTTTGCTTGGTTATTTGTTTCCTTTTTTCTTGGACAAATATCTAGGAGTGGAATTGCCGAGTTGTATGGTGGTGTGTATTTAATTCTGTAAGAAATGGCCAAACTTTTCCTCAGTGGCTGTACCATTTTGCAATTCTCATCAGCAATTATGAGAATTACAATACTTCTGCATCTTTATCAGCAATGGATGTCTGTTTTTTATTTTTTTCTATTAACTAATTATATTAATTTTACTCCTCTGCTAGGAGCATTGTAGCTTTAATTACATTTCCCTAATGACTGATGCTAAATATTTTCTCACGTGCTCAAGCCTTCTTTGGTGAAGTAATCTGTTCAAATCCTTTTCCCATTTAAAAATTTGTGTTGTCTTTTCATTGTTGTTTGTAAGAATTCTTATATATGACACAGGCCTTTCATCAGATATGCATTTTGCAAATATTCTTCTCCTAGACTGTGGCTTATCTTTTCCTTTTCTTAGCTCTGTCTTTCAAAGAGCAAACATTTTAAAATTGTAGTGACATACTTTCCCCCCCATCTTGTTAGTTTTAATTAAATCAGCAAATGAAATTTAACCTCCAATTCTGTTAGAATGACCTTTCCTGCAGATTGGGTTTCAACAGGCCCAAGTGAAATGGACACACTCTCTCTTCGAACAGCATTTCTATATGAAAATTGCATTATTGCAGTCAATGTCAGGTTACCAAGGAATAAGCCACTTAGATGACAATTAATTCCACAAACAGCACAGTGATACTTAAGTTGCCTCAAATATACAAGAACCACAATTAATGACTTTTCAGTTAATACTTTTAATTAACACTTATTAGTACTTTTAAATCAATTTCTTTTTTTATGATTTGTGTTTTTTGTGCTCTATCCAAAAGTCTTTGCTTATCCCAAGGTCTCAAAAATGTTTCTTTGTTGCTTGTTTGTTCTAGAAGTTTTATGGTTTTAGCTCTTACATTTAGGTTTGTGACTCATTTTAAATCCAGTTTTGTTTTGGATGTTTAGTATTTCTAGTACCTATTTGTTGAGAAACTTATCCTTTCTCCACTAATTTCCTTGGCAAGTTCATTGAATGTCAGTTGCACACACACACGCACACTTTATTCTGATCCATTGATCTATTCGTTTGCCATTATACCAGTACTGTACTATCTTAATTTTTGTAACTTTATACTAAACCTAGAAATCCAGTAGTACTCCAATATTTTTCCCTTTCTTTGAAATTGTTTCTAAAATTTATATGGCAAAGCACAAAGGACTTTAGAATCAGTTTTGAAATTACTACAAATCTTTCTGGGATTTGCATTGGGATTACTTCGAATTTATACATCTATACAACTCAGCAATATTGAGCCTCTGGTTTATGAGCATCATTATCTCCTCAATTATACTCTGTATTTTTTCTTGTCTGTGTTTTATAGCTTCACATATACAATTCGTGCACACTTTTTGTTAAGATTTTCCTCTTAGTATTTCATGTTTTTTGATAAAATTGTAAATGATTATTTTATTCTCATTTCAATTTCCAATTGTTTATTTTTGATATATTGAGATACAATTGATATTGGAATATTTACCATGTATTCAGTAAAAGACTGAGACCTTGCTGAACTTACTTATTGTGGTATCATCTTGTAGATTACTTAGGATTTTCCAGGCAGATGTACCATGTGCAAATAAAGACAGCTTTACTTTATTCTGTCTAATCTTTGCCCCTTTTATTTCTTTTTCTTGCCTTATCACACTGGATAACATTTTCACTGCAGTGTTATGCTTGAGGAAACGCTCATTCATGAATGTAAAAGTTCGTTAAATACTTTTCTTGCAAATGTAGAAATGCTTATGTTATTTGTCCTTTCAATATGTTGTTAGGGTGTGTAACACTGACTGGCTTTGAATGTCATACCAATTTTGCATTTGTGAGATAAATTGTACTTGGTTATGATACTTTATCCTTCTCACATATTTCTTGACTCAACTTGCTAATATTTTGCTGAAGCTAAATGACTATATTCTTGAAAGATACTGGTTTTTAGTTTTGTTTTTTGTAATATTTTTGTCTGGTTTTGATATGAGGAAGTGCTGATTTCATACAATGACTTGAGAAAGATTGTCTCCTCTTCTATTTTCTGGAAGAATTTGTGTAGGGTTAATTTTTTATCCTCCTAACATGTTTGATAGATTTTCCAGCAAAGTCACTAGGTCCTAGAGGCTTTTCTTAGTGGGAACATCTTTGATAAAAATATGAAACTTTTAATATATGTGCAGGGCTATTCAAGCTATTTCTTCTTGAGTAAAATCTGGTAGTTTTTAGTGTTTCCAGAAGCTATTGTCATAGAAGCAGAAGTACAGTAGTAGTTACTAGAGGCTGGAAAGGGGAGAGGGAGAGATCAAGGGTGGTTAGCAGGTACAAAAATACAATTAAGTAGGAGGGTTAAGCTTTAGAGGTCTATAGCACAATAAGGTGTTTATTTTCTCTTAACTTAGATCATATTTTTGTTATTAAGTTTTTCCTTTGTGATCAATTTGTTATTTTTTTAGTTTCTTGAGATGGATTCTTATACCATAAATTTGAAGTCTTCTTTTGTAAAATATACATTTCAGACTATAATTTTTAAGCACTACATTAATTGCACCCCACATAAATGAGTCATGTTTTCATTGTCCTTTGTTTAAATATTTTCTTGTGTTTTTGTTATATTTAAAATCTAATGCTAGGGCTATTTTAAGGAATGTTACTGCTTTTGTATTTTTGTTGTTGGTTTCTAGGCTGAGGCTTGCTTTGCAAATGGGCTTCGTTTTCTTGATTTGCTGAGCCTTACTTTAAAATCCAGTATTTACTGTGGACCTTATAAAGAATGTGCATTCTGTCACCGTTGAGTCCAGTTATCTATATATGTCACTGAGGACAAGGTGGGAATTATGCCTTTCAATCTTTTATGTTTTTATTGACTCTTTTCTGTTTGCTCTGTCAGCTAATGAAAGATATTAGACTCTTCCACCACGATTGAATACAGTCCTCCTTTGTCCGTGGAGGTATACTCCAGCACCCCAAGGGGATGCCTAAAACCAGGAACAGTACCAAACCCTAAACATACTAATTTTGCCTATACATACATACCTATGGTAAAGTAAATTTATGGGTACAGGAAGAAATGAATAATAAGTAATAATAAAATAGAACAATTTAATGGTAAAAGATTCATTCTTACTGTATATTTTAGCAACTTGAGCATTTTTTTCTTACTAAGTTGAGAGCATTCACCTTTTAATTAAAAATTTTTATTAGAATATATCCATTATACAGGAGGGAATCATTATGACGATTCCAAATAGGCTTATATTGAACATTTCACCTTTTAATTTTAAGGAAGCACCCTACAGCTTCTGTGCATGTGCTGTGTCTGCATTGTTAGCATTACTACTCTTGCACTTTGGGACCATTCATAAATAAAATGTAGGTTAACTGAACACAAGTGCTGCACTACTGTGACAGACATTTTGATAACCCAGATGGCAACTAAGTGACTAATGGGTAGATAGCATATGCAAAGTGGAAACGCTGACAAAGGGATGGTTAATGTCTCAGGTATGATGGAATGGCCCAGGATTTCATCACACTATGTAGAATGGCATGGAATTTAAAACATGAATTCTTATTTCTGAAATTTTCCTTGTAATAGTTTTTGGATGAAAGGAACTGAAACCATGGACAGGAGAGCTATAAATAAGGAGTGAACGACTGTGTTCACCTATTTCTCCTTCATTTTTTCCACTTGTTGCTTATGTATTTTAAAGCCATTTTATTGGTTGCATACAGATTTATATTGTGATATATTTCTGCAGGACCAACCCTTTAATGATTATGAAATGTCTCTCTTCACTAATGGTCTTGTCTTAAAATCTGCTTTCCTTTGGTCAGCAGTTTCATGGCATGGCTTTTTCTGTCCTTTAATTTTCAACCTCTGTGTGGCTGTATTTAAGGGATGTCTCTTGAAAGAATCATGTGGTTGTTTTTGAAATCTAGACTGAAAATTATAGGCTCCTAGTTGTATTATTGGATCTATTTACAGTTAATGAATTTACTGACTTGGTTTACATTTTTCATCTTAATATTTGTTTCTTATTTGGTCCATTTTCTTCATTTTTTTTTGCTTTATTTGCTTGGATTATTCAAATAATTTTATGTCTTCCTCTCCATTAACTTGTTTTATCTGTCTATCTATCTATCATTTATCTGTTTATTGTGGTACTGGGTTTTGAGCTCAGGACCTCATGCTTGCTAAGCAAGTAC